CCCCCTCCCACTTCCCGCCCCCTGACTGCCCCCCTCAGAACTCCCAACCCATCCAACCCCCCCTGCTCCTTGTCCCCTGACCACCCTCCTCCCAGGATCCCTGCCCCCTATCCAACCCTCCTGCTTCCTGTCTCCTGACCCCTATCCATACCCCTGCCACCTGACAGCCCCCCCGGGACTCCCACTCCCATCCAACCACCCTCTGCTCCTCATCCCCTGACCACCCCCTCCCAACGATCCCCCACCCCTAACTGTCCCCCAGGATCCCACCCCCTTATCCAACCCCCCATCTCCCTGTCCCCTGACTGCCCTCCTGACCCCATCCACATCCCCGCCCCCCGACAGGCCTCCCGGGACTCCCACTCCCAACCCTCCCTGTTCCCCCATCCCCTGACCGCCCCCCAGAACCTCCACCCCCTTCAACCGCCCCCTCCTCCCTGACTGCCCCCAGGACTCCCCACTCCCTTACCCAACCCACCCTGCTCCCCGCCCCCTTACCAGCAGCAGGAGTTTGCAGCCGCGACACCTGGCCAGAGACAGCTGCGCTCCCCATGCTGCCCAGTGGGAGCGACGGGCCAGAGCGTGGCCTGCAGAGCGGCATAGCTGCGGGGAAGGGGGATAGCAGGGGAGGGGCCAGGGACTAGGCTTCCCGGCCAGGAGTTCAGGGGCCGGGCAGGACAGTCCCGTGGGCCGGATGTGGCCGCGGGCCATAGTTTGCCCCCGTCTGCTTTAGAACCATTCAGCTCAGGGACGCTGAATGTCCCATAAGGACTTTAAGAGGGAGCAGGGTCCAGTGCCCCTGGACAGATTACCTGCTGCCCAATTGGGCTTAAGGAAAGGCACCTAGGCCTTAGGCCTTGGCTACACTGGTGCTGTACAGCGCTACAACTTGCTGCGCTCAGGGGTGTGAAAAAACACCCCCCTGAGCGCAGCGAGTACAGCGCTGTAAAGCACCAGTGTAATCAGTGCCTGCAGTGCTGCACGCTCGCTCGCAGCGCTGCAAGCTACTCCCTTCGGAGACGTGGAGTACATAGAGCGCTGCGAGAGCTCTCTCTCTCGCTGTGAAGTCCCGAGTGTAGCCAAGGCCTCATAAAGAAGAAAATAGCTGTATGTGGGTGTCAGCGTTTGCATGCAGGGAAATAAGAAAGCACCTACAGGGCCCTGAGTCAGCAGAGGGAAAACACCACTGGGGGAAAGGCCTGTGGAGAAGACCAAATACTCTCTTCCCTCCCTGTATCTTTCCCTACTAACTCAGCCCCCTGCAGGGGCATTCTTACTTCCTGAAGGCAACTGTCAACACTCACCTATAGCTGTCTTATAAGGTCCAGGTGCCTTCCCCTAAGTTAGACAGCAGGTGATCAGTCCAGGTGCATGGGACTCGTCTCTCTCAGAGGCCAGTCATAAAATAAATTATAATAAACTGACCAAAATAAATTAAAAAAATTGTTAGTAGGTTTGGCAAAATTCATTTTTTATAACTGATTAATAATATTAGCTTATTTGAAAGCATTTTTTATTTTTATTTAAATTTTCAGTTGCAGAAAATTGTGGTTTTTTTTAGATTTATATCAATTTAAATTTTCATAGTTGTGGGAAATTAATAATAGGTGGATCATATAATTATTTAATGACAGTTGACAATGAGGTTAAAGCTTAGAACCATTAAAAAGGCAAATTGTCAACATTGCATGTCAAAATATACAAAGTAATTATCCTTAAGGATAATTCTCAAGCCACATTTTCTTACTTTACCTATCTGTAAATTCTGAATGTTATTGATGGAAATATTTATTTGTCAGTGTGTGTGAAAATGCTATTTACTAATTAAAGAATCTAATCCTGCCAAGCCTAATTATTAGCACCTGTTGAACTGTGTCCATCTGTTGTCTCTTGTCTTATACTTAAATTGTAAGCTGTTTGGGGCAAAGAGTAGTTTTTTGTTCTGTTTATCAGTGCCTAGCACACTGGGGTCCTGGTCCATGCGTGGTATAATATAAATAATAATATAGTTCTGAAGCACCTATGTAAGAAAGCAATTTGTAGACAAGGAGGGATAAAGATGTGTTTTAAACCCACTTTTAAAATACAGTGTGATTCAATTAACTTTCTGAAAGGATAGAGTGAAATGAAATAGTATAAGGCCCTGATCCTGAAAATGGGTCTGAAGACCCTATTGAAGTCAATGGAACTCCATGTGGGCACTGGGGTCTGATCTAGGGTGACCAGACGTCCCGATTTTATCGGGTCTGTCCCGATATTTGCTTGTTTGTCCTGCGTCCCGACTGATGTTCAGCCGGGACACTGGACAAACAAACAATTTTGCCCTCCGCTCCGGCGCTTGCGCCCCCCCCGCCCCGA